ACGTGGGCAGAGTAATTGAAGGCTTGGCCATCCATGGTGAACTGAGTAGGAGTCCTGTAGCTCAGTGGTTAGAGCACTCACCTTGCAAGCGAGACACCTGGGTTCAATTCCAGGCGGTGCGAAACCTTGGGCAAGTAACCTTACTCCACACGCTTACTAATAATCCCTCCAAAAACAAACAATAAATTGGTCATTTTCAAACCACAACTGTTTGTGGGACACTGCTGTGCGCAATAGGCTGCCGTGTTTCACCCACAAATATACAGTCAATTCACTTTACAGCATATTCTGTGAAGCGCTTTGAGATGTCTAGAAGATGTGAAAAGCGATATATCAAATGTAAGGATTATTATTATAATGTGAAGCAGTGTTTGCTGAGTAGTTGGAGCAGCTGAGGCAGTAGGGCCAAAGGTGGACGCAGAGATACAACCAGTTTATGAAGGCATTTAAAAGTCAGGATGAGAATCTTGTACTTGACCTACAGGAGGATGGAGAGTCAGTGGAGTCCAGCAAGGATGAAAGTGACTGGATCATGGAGCTCAGTATGGGGGAGGTAGTGATCTGCAGAGCTCTGGATGATTTGCAGGTTGTGTAGGGAAGAGCTGGGGGGTCCAGTGTGTAGCCAGGAATCCTCACACAGTGACTTTGCTTTATTTTGGTGGGGTGGGGTGGGGGTGGGCGGAGTGATCTTAATGCTGAGATTTGGAAATCTTTCCACTGTAGGCATCAAATTCTCAGATCAGGTATAGCACTGATAGCTTTAGAATAAAATTCTCTTTACTCTGATTCAACAATAAGGCTTAACCTCAGATTTAAAAGGCATTATCAGTGTGAATTTTATCTCAATTACCCTATCTTTTGAAAAAATTGTGTCAGCAGTCTTGTGCCATGAGACTGCAAGTTGTTCAGTTGTTTGGTTGAAGCTACACAAATACACCACAGTGCACCACCTAGTTGACGCCCCTACCCAAGAAAGAAAATGTACACATGGTGAGTTCCTGATCTCAGGCAGCTCATTGAGAAGGTACTGAGTGAAAGTGATATGTTTTCACACATATTATCAGTGACGTAGTAGCAGGACCCTGGGAGATCACCTGGCTGCCATCTTAACCAGAGAACATTGTATCGTCTTTAGGGAATCGTGAGATGAATTGATCACTTAAATTACGAGTGAAGGGTAGTTGGTACTTCTTAAAACATTCCTTAAATAAGGAATATCGTACATTTTACCCCATAGTGAGATTTCAACACGTGAGAATGAAACATCAAAATCAATGTTTAAAAAAATCAAAATGACAAGGAACCATGAATAAAATAATACGTTTACAAATAGATTTGTGACATTTCGCATTAAATCCATCACAAATTTCCCCCAATGATTGGAAAGCTCAGTCCTAATTTGGATGAACTCCTGGCCATATTTTAGCAACAGCAGTGGCTATGCTTAAAGATGACTTTGCAACAAAAATGTGAGATATGTGTGCGTGTGTGTGTGCACAAATTTGTGGTATGAGTGTATCTTCCCTCACTTTAGTGTTTTGACAGCAGGAAGTTCCACCGAATGGCCTTGTGACTAATAACAATTCTATCACATTGTGATGTTTGGACAGTGCAGAGCAAGCACTTTCATCAGGCAGCAGGAAGAGGGTGATACAGGGAATTCATGAATTACAGCAAACCTTTCTAACTGTTTTGGGTACAAATTTGATCTGCGGCTTGCCTTGGAGAATCAGCAGGAAGTCACAGAAGAAAATTGCTGTTTCTTCCGTTTTTTGTTATTGCCTTTTCAGGTATGTATGAAAATGGTAACTACAAAAAACAGAGATTATATTGCTTTTTATGTGTATTGAGGGTCATTTAAATGCAACTTTATTGAAAAGAATGTGAAATGGCTGTTATGCCGCTCCAACCAAAACTTGTTAAGAATGCAGTTTATAAATTTTAAGTTACTACCAGTCACTAGGTAACTCTTATTTAAATCAGACACTAAAGGCACTATACAAATGTAATCTTGTTGTTGTTATTTAAAACATTTTTCTTTCCAAATTTTCTCCCTCTTCTACAGAAGGTGCTGACTCACCCTGGTGTGGAGGTCCATGGGGTCACCCTCCAGAATGCTTGACCAAGTGACCATTCTTCATGTGTCAACCAGAGAGTGAGTCTCCAAAGCCTAATCCACTGGGAGGGGATCACAGCCAAACCACCTTCTGTCCTCACCTGATGTCCCCACACATGTACTCTCTAGCAAAGTCACACAAGGACTGAAAAGATTGCTCTTCAAAAGAACCACCACTGACTTGATGTGCCGAATGAACTCTTCTGTGCTGTAAATTTCTATGTTTCTCTGGAAATAGCAATCAAATTATTTCCTTTCCTGGTTTCCTGCCTGATTTTCCTCTCCTCCCCCACATTGTCTTCATGTGCTGAAATCGCCTCTTCCTGTTCCTACCGTTTTTAAGCCAAAATTACTGATGGCAACATTGTAACACTCCAAATGGTGACCTGCTGCAATCAACCAACTCAGCACAGAGGGCAAGTGCAACCTGGAGTCCGTCAGGTCTGTATGGCTCAGTTTTTACGTTAGGCAGTGGTTTGAAGCTTTTATACTTTTACAATAAATTAAGCAGTGACAGACTGCCTCAGCCTCAATGTCCAAAAAAGTAAGGCTTTGCTGCTCAGCTCCTGTTACTGTCAGATGCTGATCTTATCGGCCTCTGTGGTTGTTCACTCCAGCTCACAGACTTTCAACCCTTCGTTTGGGCTCTGCCTAGATCTGTAATGGAAATTACTTGCCTCCACCATTGCCACCCCCCACACCACCCATGAGGCCAAAACTCTTATGTCAGCCTTTTTCACCTCCAGACTCAACTTCACCAGCTCGTGCTTACCAGACCCTCCCACCTCCACCCAGCCCCACACTCCACAAGCTCCAGATCATCTAGAACTTGGAAGTCTGCATCTTCGTCTGCACTACGCTCCATGAGTCCATCTCCCTATCCTCGCCTGACTCCATTGATCTGCTCCATCAGATCAACTTTAATATCCTTGTCCTTATCTTTGAAATCCTTCAAGGCATTGCACCACCCTATCTCTGCAATCTTCTGTGACCCTACTTCCCTGACCATTCTCTCCCGCTTTGCCAACTACCTACAAAATACATAGCCACACCACTTTACAGTGTATCCTGTGAAACGCTTTAAGATGTCTCAACAATGTGATAAGGCATTATGATGAATGCAGGGATTATTATTCCAACTTTCTTCATATCCCCGTCAGCCCTCTAGTCTGCTCGGCCCACTATTAGCTTTCAACCACATTGCCCTACCCTCTGGAACTCTATTCTGAAATTCCTTGGCTTCACTACCTTAAATCCATCTATAGGTCTCTCTCTTTGACTGCACCTTTAGTCAGTAAAAAACAGAAACATGCAAATCATGATGAAATTCAATCCCGTCTCTTGGCATTCCATTCTCTTTGATAATACGGTTTTGCAATAAAATTTCAACTGTAAAATAAGGTGGTAAATTGTACTATAATACAGTCCTGTAGTTCAGTGGTTGTAGCACTCGCCTTGCAAGCGAGAGACCTGGGTTTGATTCCCGGCAGGGCGAAACATTGGGCAAAATTTCCATACTCCACACGCCTCTGCTTACGTAGTAGTAAGGAGGAACCCGGTTGTTAGTCGATTGGCAGATCGCTTTTATTCATTTAATTCCTTCAAAATAAAAATAATTTGGTCACTCAATCTACGACTGTTTGTGGGACACTGCTGTGCACAATTGGCTGCTGCGTTTCATCCACAAAATACAGTCAATTCACTTTACAGTATATTCTGTGAAGTACTAAGACGTCTCGAAGGCGCTATATCGAATGCAAGGATTATTATTATTGTTACTGCAACTGAGTTATGACTTGGGCCAATAGAAAAGTGCGGCCGCAATTTTCCGCAAAATTGATCAAATTTCTCTTCAGTTTTTCTCAAGATTCGATTTGTCAAACGCCCCGCAATGTTTGTTAAATATTTCCACAATTTTCTATTGGCCCAGGTTATGACTCTCAAATATCATCAAAAAGAAGGGAAACTCTCCTCGTGGTCTGGCCAATGAATCTCCAGATAAAAATCATTCACTTCATAGCTGTTTGGGGGACATTGTTTATGTGCAAATTGCCTTCAATCAGCAGATTGTTGAGAAGCTAGTAACATAAGGGATAATTATGAGGCAACCATAACAATAAAACAACTGATCAGATTGAGACAATAGAGCTCTCACACATCTTCCCTCTGCTATTTTCTGTTTTAAATGGAGAAAATATATCCTTCAACAGGCACCTACTATAGAGATTGTACCACAGTATGTCACAATATACAGCAATCCAAACTCCACATTCTCTTTATAACTCCACACTGGTAAATCTGCCCAACCCTATCGTTAACCAAACAAAACAAGGAAGTAGGTTAGGAGAATTTGTGTACTCAAAGCTTTCTTAGGACATGGAGTATCCTATCGGAATGATGTTTGAAGCAGAATCCATAATAGCTTTTAAAGGGACTTAGATAAACATTTGAAAATGGAAAATACAGTATTAAGGGAAATGAGCAGGGAATAAATAGATAGCTTTTTCAGAAAGCCAGCACAGGATACTGTGGTTTGAATGGCTGCCTTCTCTGTTATAAAATTCCATGAAAACTGTCTGAAAGCACCCTCAAAGTTATATTTTGGATACAGAAATAACAGAGTACCTTTTGTACTGTGCAGATTATTATTTTTTTGAAAGAATATGATTTCAGAAAGTTGTTGCCATTGCTGCCATAACTTGCTGACTCTCATTGTAATTTTGTTTAGCTCAGCCCAAATCTCCTTTGAGTTCAGTCCAGTGGGAGTGTTTGTAAAAAACCTGCCTTTTGATTGGATTTTTGGCTGTTGTATTTATTGCTCATCTGGTACATATGTCCACACCTAACACAGGTACTCCAGTCAGTCAAGGGAGCAGGTAAAAATCAGGCGCCAGAGATCTGACCAGTGCTGGTTGTGTGAAGAAGACCTAACTCCAAGAACACTGGACACAGGTGGGTTTAAGGCTCTCCCCTCCCCCACCCCACCCATGCTAAGACTGTCCTAACTTTTTTATTTGAGAAACTCATAGCTCAAAAACTGCTTCATTTTGAATTTCTACGACTTTCCTCTATCATAAAGTTAGAACATGAAACCTTTACATTTTGCTCATTACTCCTGGGCAATTTACTCAAACAAAAGCAGGTGAAACAAATCCATGTAAAAAACTCAGGCAATAAAAATAGTGATGATAAGAAGTCACGTAAAAAGCAGTTGAGGTTAACTCAAAGGATTGTTTTGGAGGAAATAAGAGGACAACAGAACAATACATTGTAGACAGTTAACAAGTGTGATATATTTTCTGAATTAGAAAGTGATTCTTCTGCCTTATAAAGGCATTTCCCGCCTCGACTATTCAAATACCCTCCTCACCGGTCTCTCCAGCTCCACCATGCACAAAATCCGCTGATCCAAAACTCTGCGGGCCGCATATTCACCCGTACTAACGTTGGTTCCCTATCGCTGAACGGAGCAATTTCAAGATCCTCACACTCATTTTCAAATCCCTTCATGCCCTGCCACCTCCCTACCTCTCCGACCTGCTCCAACCCACAACCCCCTACCTCCGATCAACTGGCTCCGGCCTTCTGCATGTTCCTCATGCCCTCTGTTCCACCATTGGTGGCCGCACTTGCAGCCACTACGCCCCAAAACTCTGGAACACTCTTCCTCTATCGCTCTGCCTTGCCCCTTCCTTCCCCATCTTCAGATCATGCCGAAAGACTTTCCTCTTTGACCGTGCCTACGGTCACCTCCCCCTCTCCCCGGCTCGGCATCATGCTCCACCACTTTCAGCGCTCTGGGACGCTACCCTGCATGAGGGATGCTATATAAATGCAAGTTGTTGTTGTAGATAAAGTGACTCTTCCTCTGGTGTATGAAAGCCATACCTCCTGCTGTATAATATGTAATGTTTAAATGGAGCCACTGACACCTTTTCCAGCTCCTGATATTAATTCTGTAATTTCTGGGTCTGTGCACGTACTGTTATTCAGTCTACCTCTGGTTCCCCTCACTGGAGACCTGTCCACAAAGAATGGATCTCTAATTTGTGGGTAAGCAGAGGAAACTATGAAATGAATATAAAATATGATTTCCTGGATGCTCCAAGTACAGAATTGCATTGCCTGAGGACTAGAAGCACTCTAGCCTCCTGGTCAGACAACAACGTATCTGAAATTCCACTGCCTGGGACCAAGGGAGACAGAAAGTAACTAAAGTGGGAAAGATGAACATCCATATGAAGGAGGATGGAACAAGTATAATTGAACGCTTGTGCATTTGCTGCTTGAGGCAAACAGTTAATTTTACTGGAGCAGCTGGTTTCACTGACAGTGATCGACCCATTTTTTCAGTGATTCATAATCTTAAGTGTTTGTCTGGGGTAGGGGGTGGAATTTGCGAGATTTCCAAATTTATTGATAAATAAGTGAATCCTGCAGGTGTCTAGGTGTGTCTCAGAATAATCCTCCCTAATTCACTTGAAACCTGATCTCTTGCTTGGGGCTCAATCTCCTCCTCATTGCAAACCAGCTTTGCTGATTTGAACTGGAGATTGGAGTTGTGCAGTATTCGAATTTGTAATATACTAATCAGATATTTTGGGTCCTTTCTCAGAATTCAGCAACAGCAACTTGCATGTTTATAGCTCTGCGCACGCAGGGTAGTGTTCCAGAGCGCTTATTCAACAACCTGTGAAGCTCAATTCAATCTTTATTATTAAATGCAGTGGATGTGTTAAGTGGGGCCTAAAAATGCACTACTTGCAAAGCTATGTGTCAGCTTGGTTCAGAAGGTTGTAAGTTCATGCCCCACATCAGGACTTTGAACTCATATGGTCTGTGAGACGTTGCTGAGAGCAAATTTGCTGTTGCATTCGCCCACACAAAACACAGATTCACAGCACTTTACAGTAATATTCTGTGAAGTTCTTGGAGACGTCCTCCTGATGTGAAAGGTGCTATATCAAATGTAAGGATTATTATTATTAAAACTGGATTTGGGTTGTGAATCACCACTTCTATTCTGCGAAATTTGAATTGCAAGACACTGTATGTGAAAAAAAATCACAGAGAGGTTCAGAAAAAAGGAAATTGCGAATCCTAAGTTGGCAAAGTCCAAAAAAGAAACAAGCAACTCAAATATTGAATTTTCAGCCTCACTGCTGGTCAGCACACAAAATTGGAGTGATTTTATCCTGCACACAATATGCTTTCTGTTGGCAAGTGCTAAGAAGACAGTAAAAAGCTGTGTTGCTGCCCCAAACATTAATGGTTGGTACCAGCAGTAAAAGCACCAACCTCTACTTTTGACGCCATCATTTACATTTACTACAACTTGCATTTACATAGCACTCTTCATGTGGGGTAGCGTCCTAGAGCACTTGAATTAGCATTTTTATGGTTCATTGCCCGAGTCTTATCCCTGGTTATCTTTGCATCTTATGATTTTTGAATAATCGTCTCCTGCAGAAATTGTTGAGAAATTCCTATTCAGTTGTCCTAATTTTCCACACTTGTCGCAAAAGCTTCATGTAATGAGAGTCTGGTGAGATTCGCTGCAGTCCTTATAAATAATCTTTGCATTTGATAGCTCCTTATCACACTTCAAAGCGCTTCACAGGATTTTACTGTAAAGTGTCTGTGTAATTTCAGGTGAACTTGACAGACAGTTTGTTCAAGGCAATATGTATGTGTTCTTTTCTTGAGATTTGATTCGAAAAAGTAATCTTGTTGCAATATTACACTGAACAAGTTTTGCAGGTTGGCTCACAAACGACAACAAAATTACATTTGTATAGCGCCTTTCACGTCGGGAGGACGTCCCAATGTGCTGAATAGTCAGAGTTTCGGACCCAAGCTAGGGGTCGGGAATGGGGAGGGTCGAGGGCAGGAGGTTGATAGGGTCACGGGGCCTGGTGGAGGAGAGGACACAGGCTGTGAAGTTTTGGATGATCTGCAGCCTATGGAGGGAGGAGTTAGGGAGACCGACAAGCAGAGAGTTTGCGTAGTTGAGCCTGGATGTTATGAATGTGTGTATAAGAGTTTTGGAAGAAAGGACAGATGAGGGTCAAGCAACATGTCAAGGTTCTGGACTGGCTTAGCAAGGTGGAGTATACATCCATGGATGGTAATACTGTCAGCGCCTGAGTTGTGGAGGTGCTGACAGGAGCCAATCAGGAGAGCCTCGGTCTTGTTGATATTCAATTGAAGAAAGTTAGCTCTCATCCAGGAATTGATGTCCGACAGACATTCTGTCAGGACAGCAGTGTCCTGGAGTCAAGGGTGGAGGCCGAGAGGTAGAGTTGAGTGTCACCCGCATTAACCGGTTTCTTAAACAATCTAAACATCATTCCATTTAGTTGACACATGGCTGTCAATCAAGTTAAGATGCAAAGTTAGAACCTGTTTCTTGGTGTGAGTTATAAACTTGAAAAATATAAAAGCCAGGAGGACAGGTAAATGGGACTGAAAGGATTGCTCTTAGAGACGGCACAGGGACGATTGGCCAAATTGCCTTGTGTGCTATAAGGCTTTATGGTTCTCCCAGTCAGAATATATATATATTAGATTAAAATCATAATTAATGCTTCAATGAATGCTGCATCACACGATGGGATTCTGAGTCATGTAAACTAGGAATCTCTAAATTGTGATCCTGGCCTGTGCAATAGTGAAGGGCAACTTTAGGGCAGATACAAGGACATTTTTCTTAATGCTAAAATTTAAGACTGGAACAGGTTGCCAGGAAAGGCGGTTGAGGCCAGCACATTGGATTCATTTAAAAAGCAGTGGACAATAGTGTGTGTGTTCTGGAAGGATGAATATCTCAAGTGGTTCACAATGACAATACTGAGCAAGCACCGAGTAGGAATAACACCCTCTTGCTTCATGTCCATTACCCTATCCACCCCACTATCGGCTGGGTGTGCTTTCAGCCTTTCTGCTCTGCTGTCTGCCATTCTATCCTGGAACGCCGCTCTTCCCGCTTTTAAAACCCACCTAAATACCTATCATTTCAACTGTGCTTTCGGCCATGTTCCTCCCCACCCCCAGCACCCCTCTGAGCTCCTAGTCAGCTGTGTGAAGTGCTTTGAGATTTTCTTGAGAGGTAAATGATGCTATGTAATTATAAGTTTTTGCTGTGGGGAGAGGAAGTGCAATTCAATGGTGTTGACAGATGCCTGGTCTTTCAACAGGGTTTGTTAAGGGGGGGTTTGTCAAGATGGTTTGAAGGAGAGGAGAAGGAGGAAGGTGAAAGGATTTTATCAGACTTCCAGAGAACAGGTTGGAGGGCAGCCAGAGGTGGGGCTCCAGTCATTGCCTCCGATGATTAAAGCAGATCCCATAATATAGTAGCTTTTAAAAAGAAATTGGAGAAACATTTGAAAAGGAAAAATATAAAAAGGGAAAAGGCAGATGAATGAAAGTCTTAGCTCTCACAGAGAGACATTACCGGCCTCCTTCTGTGTTGTGGAATAATAGTAATTATCCTTGCTTTTTATTATTTTTATTATCTCAAAGACATGCTATAGCGCCTTATCATGACTTTGAGATGTCTCAAAGCACTTCACATGAATACACTGTAAAGTGAATTGACTGTATATTTTGTGGGCGAAACCCGGCAGCCAATAGCACATAGCAGTGTCCCACAAATAGTTGTGGATTAAGTGACCAAATTATTTTTATTTACTTTGAAGGAATTATTACCCCTGGAAAAGCGATCCGCCAATCAACTAACAACCAGGTTCCTACTTACAGCTAGGTAAACAGAGGTGTGTTGAGTAAGGAAACTTGCCCATCGTTTTACCCTGCCGGGAATCGAACTCAGGTCCTCTCTCTTGTGAGGAGGCTGCTGTAACCACTAAGCTACAGAACTTCATTGACTTCACATCAGGAAATGCATGGGAAAATAATAGTTGACACCCTTTATATTTTTAACCAGCAAATAAGCT